CGAGAGTAGTTGGGCCAGACTGACGAAGATGACATCAATTACTTAGATTTTGGGCATTATATCATATTTATTGCGTCAGCTTAAATATTTGTTTAATATTTATTAAATGCATGCTTAAGTTTTTTATTATTTTTGGAAGTACTTTTTTAATATTGCAAATTTAGTTTTATTATATATTTAGATTTTTTAAATTTATCTAACATAATAAATATTTGTTTAATCAATATGTCTTTAAAAAATAAAATAAGTTATTTAAAATGCACTTTCCATATAAATATAATTAAATATTCATTTTAGATTAATTTTACATATTTTAAAAAAATTATATTTATTTGTTGTTTAATGTATCTTATTTATTTAATAATTTCGTTTCAATATTTTTATTTAATTTATAAATTTGCAAATATATATTGATATCAATATTTTTTAATCTACATTTTTCTGTCAAGCCTATTTATATTTAAATTTTTGTAATTCTAATTTCTAATAATTATATTTTGTATAAAATTTGTTATGTAAATTTTATGCTTTGTATATTTGTAAACGTTTTTGTTTTGTTTTATATTAATATATTTTAGTCTATATTTTTCTTTATAGCTCTAATATCTATATTTATTTATATATTAACTTAGTTTTAATTAAAAACATTTTATTTTTTAATATTGCTTTGCTAATTTATTATTTTAAGTAGTTATTATTATTATTATTATTACTATTATTATTATTATTATTGTTATTTTTATATTTTTTAATTTTTTCTATTTAAATTAACTTTACTGTTTGCATATTTCTTTTTGTAAAATTGATTTTTATCGTTTTGCTTTCATAATTTTCTAATTTGATTTAATTTCCTTTTCGTTTCATAATAATTTGATTAATGGACGCGCTTAATTAGGAATACCAGCGCAAGCCCTGGCAATTCAACGTGCCCATACCCAGTACGCCATCCTATGTGCCAACGACGCGCGTCTCCTGGGACGACACAAAGATCTATGCGACGAGCGCGAACAGCGTGAATGCCTTGGCCAATGGGCTGAATGGCTGCCACAGAAGTGGCCTGGGCACTGCGGGTGGGGGCGATGCCTACTACTGCACGGGCAGCAATCACGAGTGCTGCAACGGCAACGATGTGGTGCTCATTAAGGTGGGTGGTTGGGTCGGGTTGGGTTGTGTTTGGGCTGGGTCTGATACTTGGCAAATATCAGTTGTAGGCGCAATTGTAGGCGTAGTCGTCCTTGAACTTTAAGTGCCGCATGCCAGTGACTAAATTCTCTCTCTCTCCCTCTGTCTCTTTCGCTGTCCATTGCAGGTGCGTCAGCCACGTGGCAAGAGCCTGGAATCGCTCGAGGATATCCACGACAACAGCACGCGCAGCCATTTGACCTTTAGCCACTATACGACCACGGACTATGGACATTTCGGGCCGCCCACGACAGCGGCCGCAGCAGCAGCCATGGCAGCTGCCGCCTCACTGCAACAGCAGCAGCAGCAGCAGCATCATCAGCTGCTGCAACAGCAACAGCAGCAGGCGGCTGCAGCACGTCTGCTGGGCAGCAATGCGGCAGCCATGGCCTGGCGACGTTCCTACGACGATGGCGACATAACACCCACCAACGATGCCACGCGCGAGCTGCTCTACGAGGAGGGCGGCGGCACGCTGCCACGCCAGCAGCGCGGCATACTGCAACGCGCCGTGCTGAATACGATGCCGCCACTGGAGCATCATCACTACATGAATGCGGCGGCGGCGGCCGAGTATGTGACAGCCGGTGGTGCTGATGGTGCAACAGTGAGTAGACGACACATAGAGTGGACAGAAAGAACTCTGGTGGCACTCAAATGATAACGCTTCCTCTCCTTCTTCTCTTGCAGTCCTATTTGAGCGGCAGCCCCTTGACGGGCAAGAAGATTGCGCCGGAGCCGCCGCGGCGTCACTGCAGCATACGCAATTCACGGCAGTTGAGCACGGATGGTTCGCAGCAGGCGCCAGTTGCCGGAGTGAACCAACAGCAGCAGCAGCAGCAACAGCAGCAACAACAACAGCAGCAGCAACAGCACATGTTCTATGGCCACACAGCACAGCACTGGCAGCAGCAGCAGCAGGCGGCCGGCCTGAATGGCCAGCAGCAGCCGATCTATGCCAACTATGCGACCATACAGCAGACAACGGCCGAGATACACTGCGAGAAGTATCATGACAATAAATCGAATTCCAGCATCGATTCGATTGATACGATACCGTTTGCCAATGAGAACACCGGCACCATCAAGCAGCGTCTGCTCAATCGCCAGGAGCTGCCGGGCATCGGCGGTGCAGCGGGATCGAGTGCTGGACATCATGCGGCCGGCACGCATCTGCATTCCTCCAGCTCCAGTTCCAGTTCGTCGTCGACAAACACCATTGCCAATATAGCGCACTCGTTCCACTCGCTGAAATCTTCCAGTTCGCTGCACGATGCCACAATGGCGCGCAGCGACAGCATGAATAGCACCGCCAGCGCTGGCAGCAGCGCGCTGCACTTGCGCTCACCCACCCTAGATATGGCCAGTGGTGCTGGCAGTGGCATCATTGAGTCTGCCTCATCACCAGAGCCAACAGCAGCTGTGCCAGCAGGAGTCACTTCTGCTGCTGCTGCTGCTGCTGCTGCTGCTGGACCAGCCACTGTCAATGCGGTGCCGCCAAAGGTGTCGGTCAATGTGCTCAACGACATTGGCAACATGTTGGCCAATTTAACAGATGAGCTCGACGCCATGCTCGAGGAGGAGAAGCGAGTGGGTCTCAATATAGACAGTGAGTAAGGGCAGAGGCGCGTTCCGCCATCGCAGCAGCAACAACAAACAATCCGAACACAGAAAGTTTCCTTAAGATGAACACCCGCAACTCGTGCCCCGAGCAACATTCACGTAGTGTAGCTGAATTGTTTGTAAACGTCAACGTAAACGTAAACGTGTAATGTTTTTTTTTAGTTTGCTGTCCCGCGTCGATTTACAGTTATGTTTTTATATCATTTGTCTAGTTCTTATTGATGTCTTAGTTATAATTGAATTGCCTAAGTCGAAAGGCTCTGCATAGGTGCATCAAATGTAGTTATATCAATAATTGGTCTACTTATGTTATGGCAGTCTTAGAGCTGAATTAAATTTAGTTAATTATTTGTTAAACTTTAAACAAATGGCAACACAAGTGTTGCTCTCACGTGTACAAAGCAATAAATCTATATATGTATTTAATTTTCATATAAATAAACAAAAAATAAATAAATCCAGCTAACTATCAGACATTCCAAACTTGAGAACTTGAAAATATAAATAAATAAATATGAATAATTGTATATTTGTTTTGGCTGCTAAGCCGCAAGCTGCAGCATAAATAGACCAATTAGTTAATGTCTAAGTTTAATAGTTTTTATATATTAATGACGAGGCCAGTTTTTTAAAATTAATTATGATTGATTTACACAATATTTAGCTGTGTATTAAATGAAACTCGAAAAACTACAACAGAAAAGCTTTTGAAACACGTATACTTTTGTACTTTCCCTATGAATGTTAACAAAAAAACAAAAGAAAACACAAAATTAAAAAAAAAAAAAAAAAAATCGAGGAATATTAAAAAAATAGCAAACAATAAGGAATATCTGAAGATAATGAAAAGTAAGCGCAAATTGCATATATGCAACACTTGCATAGTTAATATATATAGCATAAAATATATATATATAAATATATGTATACATTTAATAAATATTTAAACAAAATCATTTATATGGCAAGTATTTAGAGGTTTGATACTAAACAGAAAAAGAAAACGAAAACGAAAGAATAACAAAATGAAAATGAAACTGCAAAGCACACACAAGAAACAAACAAAACACAAAGTAATTAAAAAGTAACAACTATTTAGCAAACTTTTCTACTTAAACAAATGTTTAGTTGATACAAAATGGATTTTGTTACAACAACTAGAAATCAAATCAAACAAATATTTCAATAATTTCCAGCTGAACTCTTGAGTTTTATATATATTTTAAATATGTATACAGAACAATACAGAAATCTATATGAATGAATGTATAATTAAGTGTTATTCCATATAAACTATATATTAAATTCATTATATTAAATATAAACAAAAAGAACATTATAAATATATATATATATATATATATATATATTTAAAGATATATATTAGCGTTATATTAAGCAAGCGAAATACGGGCATCAATGCTAAATAACGTATAGAAATTCCGTGGTATACACTTCTATTGCCTTTCTTTATCATTTACTTAAATAAACAATTTTTTAGAGAAGAATTGAATTGTTTTTATTTTGATTTCGATTCGAACTTTTTCAGTTGTAAAACGAGTTGTATTGTTTGCGCCTAAGTTAATTTGTTTTGGTGCGCATATCATTATTAGTAATTGAAATTGAAAATTATATAAAAGAAATATACATAAACGTATACATAAATGCATATACATACATATATATTATCAAATGCAAAGGAAATCACACAACATGTAAAGCACATAATGGACAAAAACAAAACGAAAACAATTAAAGAAAATAAAATTTCATAGTAAAAACGTATGAAATTATTTTATTTACGAGTTTGAAGACAAATTCGAGGCTGGCTAAGTTTAAATATTGCGCCAACTTTTATCTCGTTTGGTATTTTTCATAAGCTATCATGAAATGTTTCCACTGGCCTGCTCCACACTTAATTCTTGCTTCTCTTTTAACATTTTCACTCCTCACATAACAGTATTACTACTAAGTCCCTAAATATATGATTAGTGTTGCAATAATAACTATGCATTTTATAAAATTAGAATGCTTGGTTTAGTTTGATTTTAATGCAAAAGCTTAAAAATATTAAATCACAAAATTACACATTACAGTGAATTATTCAGACTGTTAACATTGCTTTTTATCGATAGCTATCGATACATGTAAGCATTTATGTGCTATATCTATTGCTACTTCTTGCGGTCACACTGAGTCTGCTTTTCACTTACACCGCGTTCGGTCGCTCCGATAATTTTAAGATAGTCATAGAATTTATATCAACAAAAATAACAAAAACCAATAATAATAGAAGTGAGTGAGTGTGTGTGCGTGCGTGTATACAATTAATTGTATTTGTGTTTATATATATAATTGTAATTGTTGTTTAATTTATTCGCGTCTACACTCTGTACTTCTCTTACCCTCACGCTTTCTTGCATCACACAAACAACGCAGTACAACAAATACTATTATTATTATTATTTTTTTTTTATTTTGCTTAAATTGGTAAATTCCCAATGTGAAAAATATTTACATATTTTCGGCAACTCACACATAAACACAAAACACACATGCTAAAGCTCATGTGATTATATTGCTTAACTAAATTTTATCACGGGCAGAGCGAAAATAAATAGTAAATACGCTGGCCTATAAATGCAAGTGAAAATGCAAATGTATACTAATTGAAAAAGGCGCAAACAGAGCAAGCAACCGCAACAACAACCACAGGAGCAGCTGGCGACAAAAGTGAAAAGCGATTTCAATTGAGAAATTTGGATTTGGCAGGCAACAAATTTGCTCAGAGTGCAAAATGTCAAATACTGAAGACAGCGAGCTGGACCCGCAAATTCAGGTGAGCCCAGGGCAGAAATTGCACGTGTGTGCGAGTTTGGTGCCAGGCACCGCGACCAGCGCGCATAACAACAAAAGAGAAGGAGAAAGAAACATAAAAAAAAAAAAGAAAAACAACAATGCTCAGCTGTTGTTGCCTTGACAAGTTTTACTGTTGTTTTTGTTTTACTCTTGTCTTTGTAAGTTGTTATTGTGGCGCTCTCTTTGTTTACTGACGTAGTCTCTCACTCAGCACCTTTCTCCCTTCTACCCCTTACTCAGTGCTCACTATTAATTAGTTTGACAGTTGCTTAAGCCTTCTACAGGAAGGCGGCATTAGTTATTCATTGCACTTTTTGTTGCAAATTTACATTAACATTAACTTTTTTTTTTTATTGCATGCGCATTTTTTACGCTCGACTGCATTTTGTCGTCTCAAGCAATAAAAATCAATTTTCCTAACGTTTTGCCTGACAATTAAACAAATTGTTCGCTTCCTTTAATGAAACTGTTAAATATTCATGGGAAATGGCTGCCAAGAGCACACTTGACAAAACAACAGTACATTTCCAGACATCTTCTGTCGGTTCCTTTTTAGCGCCCTTTCAATGTCCTTACTTATCAAGTGCGTTCTCTGCCTTGCTGCCTCTGTCTCTTCCAAGTAATTGCATTTTACACTCCGTGCGTAATTCCAAACTCACATTCATACATATTCAATTGTGGATGCTTGTGTATGTATATACTGTACTTCATAAATATACGCTTTGTATATATGTATGTGGGTGACCATTCGATATGTTTGACCAAATACAAACTCAATTACTGCTGTGTGTGTGTGGCTTAGGTGTGGCTTATGCAGTGCAAGCGAGAACGCAACAGTCACATAGATATTCGGGGAATGGCAGCGGCGGCATGCATAGAAATTAAACGCTTTGGGAAATGCCAAAACGCCGACGCAAGCAGATGAAAACAAAAATGTGCAAATTATATGCCCAAAGCAAAATCAAAGTATTTCTTTCCTTTGTATTTATTTGTTTTCAAGTTGCCAGAGACTTGTGCGCAGTTTGAATAAATTAAGCTGAGCTCATGTTATTTGTTGTATTTTGTTGCTTCCTTTATGATATTCTTTGTTATGATGCAAAGATTGAGAATTTGTAATTATATACATATACATACATATGTATATGGAATCATATTATAAGAAAAGTATATATTCATGCTCAGCTTATTCGGTGCAGTACATTTCCATGAATAAAAATTTCTCATCAGTGCCATTAATTTCTCATTCGGCCGCCATTTGTCTATTATTATACACACACACATACAAAATAAATATCCCACGCTGCGTAAAAACGTTTACATTGATGTAGAGGCAAATCACATGCCTTTAATTTGATTGGAACGTTCGTCATGTCTGTGTACTTGTTATTGTGTGTGTGTGTATGTGTGTGTGAAAGAGAATTCACTCATTCATTCATTTGTATTATGTACAAAATTTAAGATTCTTCTAAACAAAAAACCTGTTTTTATGCACATAGCGAAAATTGCCGAATACGTCTTTAGGCACCTTCAATACTAAATATTCGTACACACACATACATACACATTCAATACATAAACACACAGCCAAATGATCATAAATATTTATTTGTGTCTTTGAGGTGCCTTTCTATGTTTTATGCACCACTTCCTCTTATTTTTTGCTACCGGCTTGTTAGGTGCTTCTACGTTTATCAATGAAATTTTTAGCGCGTGCAATTTCGTAGCTCGTTGTCTTATCAAAGATGTCGCCCACACGTCAATAGCGTGAGAATGAGAGAGGCCGACATGTGCAAAGAGAGAATGAGCAAACAAGTGTATAAATAGAGCGCAAGACACTTAATGACGTCTTACCTACCTGCGGCAGGCGTAAAACGAAGAAAGCAAATAGACTAACAATGAAAGAAAAACAAAAAAATAATAACAGCATAAAAAGCTTCTTCTTTATCTTCGATTTGGACAGCTGTTTAGGTGTTTATATTTGCGATCCACTGAAGTTGTGTCTCAAGTCTGCCTCCCACTCGTGTCAGGTGCCAACACGGGCAATGTGTAGTCATTTGTGTGGGGGAATTTTTCATGGAATTATCAAGCTTTCTTCGTCGTGAGCTATGAATTTAGTTAACACTTATCACTGATGGGCTAATACTATTAATATCTATATATAAGCGATAAAATATGAAATCACGTTTTTTTAAATAGCAAAATATGATTATTTCCCTATTTATTTATATAGAAAATAACGTCATAGTATAGTATAGACTTTCAATAAGTCATTCACATATATATATTACCTGCAATGAAATTCTGGAATCGATTATCAACGGTTTTGTATTGAATATTTTCATTTTAAATTTCAATATTTGCCGACAGTAAAATTTTTTGCCTTGTTCCAGTTGATAATTTGATTACGATAGGAAATTTAATCCATGTCTAGCCGAATATTTGCCTATGACTAATAAAGACACGATACCTGTATGCCTTTTTTTGTCAGCAAGGTGAGACATGGCGCGATATAGAGAACACGAAGACCTCTAGTGATTCACGTAATGCTCGCCTGACAAAGCCATTAATGTGCATACTTATATATAGTATACTAATGATTCAAAAGGAGAGTGCTGTAAAAGTAATTAACGGAAAACTGCTTAATTCACACGTATATTTAATTAACAATATATGTAGATAAGTTAATTGGCGAAAAATAAACAATAACATCTATTGTGTGCAGCTTAAATATTTTTATTATTAAAAAAAAAAAAATTTCATTTATTATAATAAATAAAAAAAAATCTCTTGGCAGCGGTGGGATTCGAACCCACGCCTCCGAGGAGACTGGTGCCTTAAACCAGCGCCTTAGACCGCTCGGCCACGCTACCATGTGGCTGGCCGCGTTCAAATACATTTCTCATGCTATATCGCGTTGTCGCTGTGGGCTTAATTATATTTATCAGGCGTACAAAAATATTTCCAATCTTATTGTTGCCTTTATTTATTTTTAAATCATAGGCAGCAATAAGTGATGGAAAAAAGATTTGAATTGCTTGCCACTTGTGCGACAATGGGCGAGGCTCCCACGCAGCGTTGTCGGTATTTTTATCGCTGTCACACCATCAGCGTGCGAGCAGACAGTGCGGCAATTGAAACTTGAATAAATGCTTTTTGTCTCGCTTGCACTGGAGTGCAGTAATTTATGAATTTCATAAGCTAAGATGATCTAACGGACGTTGTGAGGCATATGAGAAATGGGCTTAGTTACAGCATTTATGTATAATCATTGGCTCTGCCATTTTATAAGTTATTATTATATGTACATAATTTTAAAGTATTTTCAAGGGAAATATATAATTTTGCGACTGTATTTTCAATGTTGCTCAAATATATGACTTTCGCCTTGTTGTTTGTCATGTTTGTCTGCCTGTTTCTATTGTTTATCTGTCATGCTCATGTATTTTGATAGCATCACAGTGGCGCCTTCATCTCTATCATTCGCCTCTTCTCCAATGATGCACAACAGCAATCTCTGGCAAAAGTCGCCAACATTTCGCTCGCGGTTACCGCACACAATTTACATTTGCTATTTGTTGTGGGGCTTTTGCCTTAATTAATTCGTGCCGCAAGCGAAATGCACAGCAATTTTGTTATGTTGTTTATGGTTTATATAAGTAGAAACTGAAATCTTAATTGTTGGGCTTTATCTGACATGTTCATATAGCATGACGAACATGTTTCCCAATGGAAAAAAAAAAAAAAAACAACCAGAAACCATCTTATCAATCTAACAAAGTCATTAACTTGTTTCCGTAACAATTCGAAAGTTCAATTGCTTGAACTTTAAAAAGGGGTGGAAGAATGAGACTCTTATAAAATGCAGTTTCCTAATTGCTTCATCAATTTGTTTATCTTGAATCGATAAGGTAAAATGTTATCTTTGAAATGTGGGCAATAGATAGACTATAAAATATATAGTATTCATAGTCTTTATCTGCTTAACAAACAATCAATGTCAATCAACCCATGAAATCTGAAGTATTTCTGAATGCGGCACTTACGATTCCATCTCTGTTTATTTGATTCTAAAGATGTTGCAAAAATGTAATCTTCAATAAAATCAAACTTGTCATACTTTAAAGTAAAAAAATGAATCAGACTTATCGCTAAAATTCAGTATATTATAATTAGACTCCACTGTAGCAGTCAAAGCTTGTTGTTAAATGAGCAGAGTGAAAATACGCCCTCATTTGTCAAATATGAAATTAAAGCAAATTCCACATTTTTAGACATTAATCTCCATAATTTATCTTCGCTTTGATTGCCTTTCATATCTTATTCAAGTACATAAAGAATTTTCTTTTCAAGACCACATATTGAGCAATCCAAAAAGAAACTTTTGGTTTGACAGCATTCCACAGACTTTGAGAATCATAAACAAACAAACAGTTTATTCTGCTGTCGTTCAACTTAGCTGGCTTTCTACGCAGAAAAAAGCCGAACTCAAATTCTGTGAAAAAGCCATTAATGTAAATATGTATATATGTATGTTTGCTGCTATAGCAACATTTTATCCAATCTCTTTTGTTTAACTATTGAACACAAAGCTCATAATTTATAGACGTCTGACATCTCAGGCTGCCCACTTCAGACACATTGTATACCCTAGAATTGTTTGGCAAAGGGGGAAGATCATGATGTGGGAGTGTAGCTAAGCGACGATGGGGAAGGCTTCTATGTATGTAGTAAATATTTTGTGTATGTAGAGAGTAAATAACTGATATTGTATAAAATGCAATTATATATAAAAATTGATATTTGAATATCTATATTTATATTTATACATATATAGTGTTTACATTACTATAGAATATATGTATAAATTTCTGATCAAATTCTATGCACTTCAAATTCAATCATGAGTATTCCTGTTTAGTATCATTATAAAACATTATTATGCCTTAACTATCACAGATCGTCAGGGCATATGCTAGTCGT